AAAAAACCAAAAAAAAAAAAAAAAAAAAAAGGCCAGCAAAAGAAAGTTGGGTCACACCTCCTTCACTTTCAGTAAAATTCATAATCAGTCCATTGGCTTTGCAATTACATTCAAAGTATGACAACACTTGGCCAGATAACATTTTATGCTGCTGTTGTCAAGGTCAATGGAGTTTTCCCATCTAAATCTCATCTTTACTTTGTCTTGCTACCTCCAGTACAGAACTCAGTGTAGTCTACAATGTAATAAATAAAAGATAAAATAGCTGTCTGTTTATCACTAAGGTGATCATGCTGAATATGATGGAATTCTTCAGAAACATATTTTGGCCAAATGTGTATATTAAAACTATGTACTTTGAGGGTAACAGTAAGACACTGTGTCAATAAGCGTTAAGAACAAAACTCACATTTAATTTGCTTCTAAATCATATTTACCTCCAAGTCCTCTCTCTGCAATCACACGGATAGCTTCCCCGATGTTACATCCTGGTTGAAAAGTGCCTCCATTAGGATAGATGTCGACATGTCCTACTGGTTTCTGGATTCCAATACTTCGGCCAGGTGACCCTCTGGTGAACGTGTGTAAGACGTCTACAAAATACGCATCATCTGGAGAAAGGCGACTTGGGGCTTCTGCATACTCAAAGTTAGGTCCAGCTGGATCTAGACCTTGATGAAGAAAAAAAGGCCCCACAGATTTTTAAATCTTAATTAGCATCACATTAGCATTCCATTGCTCATCATCTGAATGTAACTGGCAGCCACAGAGACTCTTATGAGCACCTATTATACAGTAATTGGATCTTTAAATTACTAAGAGTCAAAAATGTAGACTTGTCTCTTTCTAAAATGGAACTTGAGTCTCTTAAACTAACCATTGTAAAGAAATTTTTCACCCAAGATGGCTTGATTTCCTTTTATAAATTATTTCTAAATCTAATGTGAAGATCTTTAAACAGTGGTAGATTCTCTCTCTGTCTTTCTCTGTAGGCCAAACCCATCTATTATCACTTGCCTAGAGGAATTTCCAAATGGCCTCTAGAGTTGGTCCTTTTTCAACTTACATCTGTTGATGTAAGCAGTGAGGGCACAGGAGCAACACACTATCTAGGCACAGAGCAGAGGGAGCAGGGAAACGGCTTCTCCGAGAACTCTGTGCACTTTCTGGGCTTAATTCTGCTCTGTTTTCATGCTATTGTCAGTAGATGGTAAGCCCATGAGAGCAAGCATCTATATTTTATCTTGCTCCTGAAAAAGAGTCCTGTCATAAGATAATCAAGTGCCAGGCATATCCGCAGAAGAACACCATACACACGTGGGTATCTTACAAACATTTTGATTCTCTTTCAGAATGATGGCATCTCAACTTATGCTAAGACAAACAAAACTGCGTTCTTACCAGTAATTCTGTTGACCTTCTTATTGGTCAGGCTTCCTGCAATGCCAGCAGCATGGGCTCCGAGGCTGTATCCCAAGAGATGAACATTATCCAGAGGATAGTTAAACTCTTCCTTTGGAAGAGAAAAAGAAAAAAAGAAAGGTTCTAATTGTTCTTTGCCAAAGATCAAAACTAAAAGAAATAAAATGAATATAAATATTATTTTCAAAATATTGGCAATATTGAAAATTAATTCTACTTATTTTAATTTTGTGTTACAGGTAAGAGAGAGAAATTTATTTTCTAGTGTTGAGATTTTCCCTTTAACAACAGACTAAATTGTATTATTTACATATATAATACATGTATGCATATATACGTGTATGTATAGGATATATGTGTGTGTGTATATATGTATGCATATATATGTGTATATAGGATATGTATGTGTGTGTATATACATAAATATATATTTAACTTTAACCTGTTATTTCCTATTCTAAACACTCTGCATCTTTTTCTTTAAGGTTAACCAAGCAATGAATTATAATCAGAAAACATTACAGTAGAAAGGGACCAGAGACACATGGTCATCTTCCTCATCTAACAGGTGAGAAACCTGGAGCCCAGGAAGGTGACCCCATTGGCCCAAGTTCACTCATTCAGTCAGCAAAAGAGCCAGGGAAAGAACTATTGTCTTTTGATGGTCAGTCCAATAAACCACAGCTTATTTTTGACCTTCAACAATCTGGTTTAAATAATTCGGCCCTGTAAAGAGTATTAGCTTCCTTCCAACACCAAGATCCTTTTCAAAGGTAATTTTCAGAGAATTGCCTGAGAAAGTGGGCCATCCTCTGAAAGTGGGTAGAACTTGCAGCCAGGTCAGAACACTGGACCCTCGGCCACCTGCTGTCCTACACACTCTTCCCTGTCCTTGTTTTCTAAGCTCAAGTCCATCACTCCCCCAACCAGCGACAAAAATCTGGATACTTAATCCATACTAAGGCATAAATACCACTAATATTTTTGCCAAAGAGACTGATATTCTAACAGAAGTCAAAGCCAGGATAAAATCTCCATGTGCCAGCCAACTGGTGGGGAAAGATTTGGCTGAACATGCCATCTTCCCTCTGCCCTGAAGTAACAAGCTTTTGTCTGTTCTGCCCACTCCATTCTCAGTCTCAGCAGATCTATTCACTACGAAAATATCAAAGGACAGGGCAGGACTATTTATTGGCATTACAGTCTTATCATTGTTGTCATAGTGCCCATGCTCATTTTGAAGATTTGAGTTACCCCAGAAAATATCTGTAACTAAGTGACAAGAAAGAGAGACCAGTCGTTTACTTAGCTCTGGCTCTGTTTCAGACACATGAGACTCCACTCCCAGGTCTTACCTCCATCCAGTCAATAAACCTGGCCACGTCCTTTCCCACCAGCTTGGTGTAGCCTGCAGATACTGGATAATGGTGCTGGGCCCGTGACAACCAGTCCACCACAATGACGTTGGAGTCTGGTTCCCTCTTGTACAGGGCGGCCACAAGTTTGGGCACCCAACTCTCATACATGCCCGTCACCTAAAGAGGATGATACAAGCTTTCTTAAAATACCCACCTACAACTTTTGGCTCAGACAGAAAAATCATACTCCAAAACAGTGTTCAGAGACTTGGGCCTGCCCCTTCCGAGGCAAACTTGAGGGCGCCGGAGAAGAGCTGTGTTAAGCTCAGGAATGGCAGATTGGGTTTACCAGGCTGCAATTTTAAAAGCATGTTTTATTGATTCAGTAAAACTTCAATAATTTATACTATTAGAAGGAAAGATCAGTCTGAAGGAATTAAAATTTACAGCAGAATTACAGACGATTTTAAAAGAAGTTTAGTTTAAGGACTTATTAGGCTAATAAATGTTTCCCAACAGAATTGTTTTGGGGTGTGAGTGCATCTTTTTTCTTATAAAAAATCATTTACATTCAACATTTGATGTGCTAATAACTCAAGATCAGGTTATATTTGCAGCCACGGTAAAGGTTACCCAATTATGTACTAAATAGACAAAGAAGATTCTGAAACTCATGTCTAAGGCAGCTTTTAAGGGGAGACCTACAAAAACTAGATTATACTTAGTGCAATTCCAATAGAAAAACAGGAGTCTTGGATTCCCAAACCAAGGGACTTCATCTAGAACTTTGATCTTATATACTGGGTTCTTTCAGATTTATGCACTTTTTGCTTATCTGTTTAGCAAACTAAAACTATCAAAAGTATCCCGCTTCACTCATGACACTAAGCAAACTGCACAATTTTTCATCAAGTTGCTCTAAAACTTGCTGTTTGGTAGAAAAAAAGCAAGGCCGAGACCCAGGAGATCTTGATTCCAGTCCAAACTCTCTCACTAGTTATTTCTATAAATGTAGGTTCTGCTTTAACCTTCCCCAGTCACTTATAAAACAAAGGGGTTGGATTCAGGTGATCTCACAGTTACCCGTCACCTCATCAATTTCTACCTGTGACCATTCTGGTTCCCAGTCTACCTGCAGTGATAAAATGCCAGCTCTACAGCTATGTCAAGCATGGAGAGAAAAGGTACACAGGTGATGTTAGTCCATTAGGAACATCATTTAAACCTCCTTTGAACTTGTCTCAGCGAGGATGCTTCAAGTTCAGGTGCCTTGGGCCTTTCAGAAAAGCAGCTGGAAAACCTGCCTGGAGCAAAACCCTGAGGAATTGGTCCTGTCGCATCCCCAGTCCCCACCATTTGTGATTGGGGTACTGGCCACTCTTTGCAGCTGCCTGTCCCGACTAAGAGAGGATGATGTCATTTCTTCAGAATGCAATGGTAATCGCTCCTTGTTTCACCAGCAGTGAGGACCTCCTACTTCACAAAGAGACCTCTGTACTTAAAGCAAGTGAAATCCAAGCAAGTGGCAAAGCTCCAGTCCAGCAGTGCCTGGACTGCATCCTGGGATGCGCCATATGCACACTTCGTGCTGGGCATTCTTGGGTCTCTCAGGACAAAGCTGAAGAGCCTCCTCTCTTCATTCAGTCTGTGCCCTTGAATGGACAGAGCAGTTAACCTCAGATAAGGCAGGAAAACCTTGTTTGCCCTAGGCTCCTGTTATAAGCTTTTCTACATTAGCAGTGTTTTCAAGTTAGATTATCTATAAAAGGCCGAGTAATCCAACTTATTCCTACAGTGGCTGATACTTTTATTAATTGCATAGCAACTAATCTAACCCTTTCTTTTTTGACTCAGCATAAAATACTGACCTAAGTAACCCTGAAAAAAGGGAGTAGAAAATCCAAGCATCCACCTTCCTCAACTCAGGAAAAGCCTCGTTTTCTAAGTTTTCCTCTGAGGTCCCACCATTCTACCATTTTAAAATATATTTGATTTGCAGACTCGCGGCTGAATGGAAGCCCACCCTGCCACCTTCACCAGGGGGTTCACCAGAATTCACCAGTGAGTTCACTGAGGGAGACCAACATCAGCACGGCTGGCTTCATTACTGCACAGACCAAACAGCTCTGTATGATATGGAAACTCAGTCCCACAGCCAGAGACCTGACCTCTGAGCTCAGGCACTCAAAGTGTCAGGACACAGGATGTGAAGAATACAAATGGGCTTAAAGAGGCCTTAGGACCAATGATAGGAACTGGCACTATCTATGGATACTGGGTTAATCACATAATCTTAGTATGAGAAGGAAACATTCTTTCAAAAATTCCTAAAGCATGAATTCTCTCAGGGATAAGACTGAGATGCCTGGACTATTAAACTCATACCTGTTGTTTAAATGTATTTATTCAGTATAAACCTTTTTGAGAAGTATTAAGAGCCAAGTTTTGTATACATCCAAAATGCCTCTAAAAACACCAAAGATTCCTCTTTCTTATTTAAATCTCTTAAAGTACAAAAAGATTTATGTTAGGAATCTGAACTTTTAAAATAAGATATGTAATCTACTATGTTAACTTCAATAAATAGATATATTTTATTAAAATAAACATCCATTCTGTGTGAATTCTTAGTTGTTGCCTTCATTGCCAAAAAAGATAGTAATTGTCCTAAATTGTCAATAACAAAAGCACTTAAGTTACGTAGGAAAAGAAGTCAGGACTAGATGTATACCACTTTTGAGCTAATTATTCTTAGAATTTAGTATCTATTACAATATTCACAAGCCCTGACATAATGGAAAGATAATATATCTTTAACAATTCATTTTATATAAATCCTCATAAATAATAGAATCTGCTCACTAGGGACTGAAAAATCTTAAAACAAACCATTTAAGCAAGAACTACATCAAAGTAACTATCTGGCATATTTAAAGACTACTTTATTAATATTTTAAAATATTAAATTTAGCCAGTTTTCACTGTTTCTAATCATCATGCATGACAGTTCCCTGGCTAGCCCTCTTTCCTTTCTAGAAAAACTCCCTAAAGTTTACAATTGAAGAATGTTGGAAATAGAGGGAACTTAGGGGCATCTAACCCAACCTCTCTGTTTTGCAGAACAGTAAACAGAAGGCCAGAGATGACAGGTGACTTGACCCATGTCAGAGAGCTGGAGAAGGGCAAGGAATCCACACCGCCTCATTCCATCCCAGTGCTCTTGTTACCCTTGAAGGTTGTCCTCTTCAGGAAAGGGTCTTTGGCGATGTGCTGCATGATTCAGGATCATCCAGGGTTCCACCAGTTCCCCACAATGATAATCTACATTCTGCTCTGCACTTGGGCAGAGCCTCCTTTTCCTACCTCACAGGAATGGCTGGCTCAAGGGCACCAACCACATACCATGTCAAAATGAGGGCTGACACAGTCTAGGGAAGTATTCATGAACCTGACTTTAGATCCCACCCCGAACCAGAATAGCCTTTATTCAAGTTTAAAGCAAAGCCCTCAGAGGGCAAGCAGAAGTACGTGTGGACCCATCACTGGGTCCCCAACAATTACGGCAGGCCTGTCAGGATGCCTGGTCAACCCCAATTCACTCCTTCCCAAAGAGCCTCTCCTACCGTCCAGCCGTGGATCACCACAAAAGTTTTGCTGCTGTGGTTGAAGTGGCAGTTAGCCACAGATTCTGCCACTCCAGGAATGAGGTGGCAAGTGTCCTCAGCTGTTTCTTCAGGGGTCCTTAAGGCAAATTTACTTTCGATGTCCATGAAATCTCTTCCTCCTATAATTCCTGAAAAGGAGACATTGGAGAGGAGGTTAACTGGAGGGTTGCTTGTTTCTATTTGCTGGAATCACAAGCAACCACCACCAATGCTGTTTTTTGTTTCTAAGGTGTTTTTAAAAAACGAATGGGGACTGCCGGTTAGCTCAGTTGGTTGGAGCATGCACTGGCAACACCAAGGTCACAGGTTCGGATCGCTGTAGGGCCCAGCCGCAAAAAAACCCCAAACAAACGTGGATTGCAAGAGAACCACAGATCCTCCAGTGGTGATCAAACGTGATAGAGACAATCTCAACTGGAAGTAAAGAAAGAGTGGTCTCTGCTGAGTCAGGGTGTGCGTGTGTGGGTGTGTGTGCGCGTACACAATTTTAAGTGAACTGTATTTGGGGATCCCTTAGTTAATTCAATCTTCTCTCACACTATGAACTTAAGTGACTTGCCTGAGGTTATGCTGTTAATAGTGGGAAAGAGAGTGAGCACCAGAACCCAGCTCTCTTGGTTCCACTCCAAATCCCGTTCTCCTAGAGCCCATTGTTTCGTGCCTCTTGTGTTGTGGAGTTCTCCTGATCTCATGTATTATTTCACTCTCTAAATCTCTTTAAATTACATCCAAAGAATCTTTTTCCACAATATGATACAATTAGGCTTGTTTGAGAGAAGGTTGTTCTTTTCACTAGGCATAATTTAAAAAATATTAGCAATAAGGGAAGTTTGGAGTTGCTCCCTCCTCCATGGTAAGACACAGCAGTTCGAAATCATTTAGTGGGTTACTCAGAACACCTGTGCTGTGTATAAGCCACGACGAACTTCCACACAAAGTCAAAACTTAAAAATGACAGCAAATCTGGTTATTGAAAGAATCTACTTTGAACTTCACAGATAATTCCAAACACAGTAAGGAAAGGAAGAGAACCTAGCCTTTGAAACTCTGGACAATAAATCTGAATGTTGACCAATCTTCATGGGTATTTGTAGACAATAAATATCATGTAGTGCTCACAGTGAACACTTGAAGTAAATTATAGTGCAAATACAATCAGACTTTTCACAAAGTAAAACACAAAGGAAAGTTATATTAGGAGAAACTATTTAATTTATGGTCAAGTTAAAAAACTAGCAGAAGGTAATAACTTGTAGATTTTAGATTATGCTATTCCAAATTTTCAGGAGAAAAATAAATGAGGTTGCTAGCAATTCTTCTAGTTTCTTAATCTAAATTGACTTTTTTTCATAACTCAAAATTTGGAAATCTATAATTTCAAAATGACATTGCATAAATCAGGCCAAGAATAAATATAAGAATGATAAAGTAACAGCGAAAGTGCAGGCACTCGAATCAGGCTCATCGTGTAATTATCTGAGGACTGGCAAACATTTCCCTTTTTAAAAATTATTTTCCAAAATTCCTTAAACAATATTGTGATTACTCGCTGAGTGATTCATTACATGCACCAAGTTGATCACACACAAACACACACACACACGCACGCACGCACGCACACACACACACATGCACACACATCACCACCACCTCAAATGTAGAGACAATTTATTCATGGTTATATTTATTAGAAAGAAGTGAGTTTTGTTGTAATAGCTAAACACTCTAAATCATTTATTCAAATAAGAGTTTTTGCTAAACTGTTGATCTTTAAAGCCCTTTTCATTTCCATGTAGTAAAATGGCACTTGAATCCATCCGTCCAACCCAGAATATATTCTCTCTCTCCTCTGATTTAAAGATGTAGGACTTCTTCCTACCTAACCAGAAAGTTCTCTGGTAACTTTATTATTTACTTGATAGCAAAAAAGAATATTGCATATTTTTAATCTAATTCTGCTTTCAGTGCCCAAGAAGTTTTTTTATTGTTAGAAAGTACTCTGGAAAATTTAAAAATAAATTAATCACACCCATTCCCACATCTCTGCACCTCAAATAACTCATACCTCCTCTGTAACGATCTTATTTTAATGTGTGCAATTATCAATCTTTTTAAAGCACAGATCATCTGAAAACCTGGCAGACAGATTTCACTCACCACCTATTTGCCAAAGTGATATTTATGATAATTGCCTTATTTGACTCCAGAGGATGCCATTAACTTTTAGTCTCTTTTTCCCTAGAATTAAGCAACTTGGTGGCCCTGATATTACTGGTGGTTTTGAAATGACCAAGAATATTCTTTGAAATTACTAAGACTGGCTTTGTATATTTCCATGAAAAAAAAAGTCTATTCAATTCATAGATCCTGTATCAGATAATATGAATGGCTCATTGACAGGTCCAACTTCCCACAGCAAATATTTTCTGTTGGGTCCATAGCTTGTGAAGAAAAAGAACAGGAAATTCATACATTCTTTAGCAAACTCATATTTAGATACTTTTGCTTTTAAAGAAAACACTTTTTCATTTTTGATAGGAAAATAATGCCTCTTTATGGGCCATGGGAAGGTTTCAATTCTATGTCAGATAAATCACAAAACTTATCAGTGCTTAGTCAATCTTTCCTTCTCACTGGTGTTCTGATAGGACTTTTCACACTTCCTATTTTGCAACCCTTCAGGATGTCTCACTGTCCTAAAGATGAATGTGCTTGCTCAAACCTCTGTCAGCCCTCGAGCAACTGGCCAAGACCAGGTAGAGACAGATAGAAAGAGGGACTCTGGTTGTGGGTCAGGCAGGATGTTTAGTTATCTCAGTACACCCTGGATTGCTACTGGGTGGCAGATGAATTGACTTGATGTGACTGTTACTAAGGAAACTATAGTTTCCTACACATGGAAAAATGATGTTAGTGACTCTGCACTTATCCCACTAGACGGTCTTTTACCAGGGCCCTTAGAAATTAAGGCCACCTTAGAATAGAAGGGAAAAAAGAGAGAGAAAGAAAGAGAAGAAGAAAGGGAAAAAAAACGAAGGAAGGAAGGTGCCCAAGGTGTGTCTCTTCATAAGAGCCTCCATCCTGAACTTGACTTAGCACATGAGTACCATGCTGCCAACCAGGCCCCATCACACGCGTCTTCCCAAGTACTACGAGGAGGTTTTAGGGTACCAGGCAAGTTATAAGTTAATGCATTTCCTGACTATGTAAGTTTATTCTTAAATCCCTAAATAGATAGTTAAAAAATCTGACTGTGTAAACGAAGATATAAGAAATTTATCTTAATGTGGATAATAATTCACAGAGATGACATTAGGTTGAAGGGCTGGCCTGTTCGCTCAGTTGGTTAGAGCAGTGTTATAACACCAAGGTTAAAGGTTCGGATCCCTATACCAGCCAGCCACCAAAAGAAAAAGAAAAAAAAAAACGGCTGAGAAGTCAAAGCACTTAGAGAAAGGTAAATTTATAAAGGGAACATTACTGTTGTGAGAAAAGGAGGAGCACTAAGTATTCTAGGAAAACAACAGATGACATAAAAGCAGATCAGAGATATCAGATGAGCAAGATTAACATTTCTATGAAGACACGAGGTGGAAGAGCTCAGTTACAGTGCAATTCTCTTGGAAATTTCTACTCTCTCTCTCTCTCTGATACACACACACACACACACACACACACACACACACACACCCCTAATGTACTTCATCAGTAATTCATTTGTTCTGAGACTGAGGGTCACAGTTATTGACTTGGGCAGTGGCTGTAGGAAGCCAAAGCAAGTTGAATTGCCAATTCAGGTCAGTTTGATGAGGGGAAAAATCACTATCAGCTGACTGAATTGATTCATCTATCAGATATTCCAGTGTAGCCAATGCTATACACTTGTCTAACAAGCAGATCTGGTTTTCATTTTTACAGAAAACAGTATTTGTTTTATTAATTGAGTAGTAAAACTAAATTTTGTACTTACAACCTGAATTTTTTGTTGAATTTTCTCCAATATTAGCACTAAACTTGCACACTACTGAAAAGAAGGGTTAAAAAAGCAGGTTCGGAGATGCGTGTTAAAATTACCCAGTTGAATCATACCATCAAGTGTAAGCCTCCATCATTCAAAGGGATCTTTGGGATTGGTTAATAGAATATGCACTTTGGCTGAGTGTCAGCATATTTACATCAAGATTTTTTTTTTAAATCGAAATGCGAAATTTTTGTATTGTTAATCTGAAATTGCTTTCTCCTGGTTGATAGAGAGGGAAAATGGAAACATCCACCTCAAACTAACACAACGAAAGTCAATGATTATGTCGCTAACAATTGGTTTATTTGAGGGAAGGCTGGATAAAGACTGGGATTCTATCCTTTTAACTAAAACGTAGGTGCTCTTATGCTATTTTTCACCATAATTAAGTCTGCATGTCAACTTTTTTTCAAAAGTACATTAGAGATTTCAGGATAGCTATATCTTGAATGGAGGGCTGTTGAGAAGCTCTAAATGATGTCCATTTGCCAGTATTTACCACCACCCCTCCAAGAGTCTGACTTTTCATAAGATTGGAAAGCTTCTGTAAGCTTATACATTAAATTTAAATTAATCTGAGCCAGAACAGCTTCGACTTGTCTACATAATCACAGACTTCATCATCTAGGAAAAACGCATGGATCAACACACACACACCCAAGAGGTGAGTGCCGTGAACATGAGAGCTGGATTAGACTGAGCACGGCCATGCCAGCCAGGTCATCTCTGTTGTATTCTACTGCCAATTAGCAGCTGGAGACATTTTCTGTTATTCACTCAAAGAGTCAAAATAACCAAACTACCTTGGATAGAATTTGATCATTTTGAGAACAGACTGGGAAGAGCACAAAGAATAAGTTGGCACTAGTTTAATAAGCTCATTTCCAGTAGATCTTTAGAAATACATATCACCACCTAAGATAATCCATTTCTTCCTTCCTAGTAGATATTTACTTCCCCCACTAGTACAAACTGACATTTGTTGGTTACCCAAATGGCATCACTGTACACAAACAGACATTCTTAAAATGGCCGTAAGACAGCAGCATACAGTCATTGCAGTCCGGAGTACAATGTTCACAGTGAACATCAAACTCTTTGTCCTATCATATGACTCCTTCAGAAACTAACAGAGCCATCAACTTCTGCAAAGAGAGCATGTGACAAAAGCCATTTGTGACAAAGATTTGCTCCCAGGTTAAAAAGCCCCCATTGATAAAAGTATTTAGTTTGCTGTGGTGACAGACTACATTTAGTGAATACAACCATCCTGAAACTTTACACTGCTGATAAGTGTTTCATTGTTGTGGCTGTCGCCATAACAGTTGGAAAACACAGTATGGGTAAATTCAAATAGTACCCATATGTGAAAAATAACGATACTCATGTCCTGAATATTTTCCTTACATCTTGTGAACCAAAGTCATCATCAACCATCATTTTGGTGGCTGAACATCTTCACATTTAAGGCAATGCAGCCTTTGTGGTAATAACGTGGGAACAGGTGGTGGTCAGAAAAGAAATGAACAGTAAAATGTTGTTATGTTTCAAGGCACTTTGTCCAGCAATTGTATGTTTCAAGGCACTTTCCCCAGCAATCAGCAATCATTTAAGGCAATGCAGCCTTTGTGGTAATAACGTGGGAACAGGTGGTGGTCAGAAAAGAAACGAACAGTAAAATGTTGTTATGTTTCAAGGCACTTTGTCCAGCAATTGTATGTTTCAAGGCACTTTCCCCAGCAATCAGCAATAACTGTATAGTCCAAACCATATAGTCTCCTCCATAATAAAGCAAGCGTGGAGGATTCTGCTAAAAATGCACAGCTTGAAAGTGAAAATTTTCTTTTGCAACTCTTTCCCCCTGCCTGACTCCCACCTTTCAATACAGCTATTAATCAATCACTCTCTTGCTGAGATCTGTGACATCTGCTGCTGTGCTCTGATCAGCCACTGTGTTTAGCACAGATGTTAGCCTGGAAATTCACTATGGCCAAAGAGAACTGCAGCTACTGAGCACTGACCCAGATGTTCCCTTTAGAGCCCAGAGGAGGTGCTGCCTATCACAGCCCCCATCCCCACCACCTCGCACCTTTCCCACCCTGAAATTCTTACATTCCTAGATGAATTAATTCACCTAGAGGAGAAAGGGGCAGAAAGTCACTGTGATGGGAGAAGTACCACATAATAGGTGGGCAGAGTGAACGTGGAGGGGATGAGAGAGAGTCATTTCCAGTCTAGTTAGAAATAATCCTCCCTTAATGCATTTGTAGCCAGGAAAAGTTGTGTTGCTTAAGCATCCACTGAAATTAAAGAGTAAGAATTACAGGGTCCTTAGAGGACTTTAGTCTCCTCCAAACTCCTCATTTTAGAGTTGAGGAAGCTAAACCCAGAGAGGTGACACAGACTAGCCCAAGAATTTAGGGTCTAAAAGAGCCTAGCAAAAACTTAAAATGTGAATGACACATTCTTGTGCATGTTTTACGGGGAAAGTAACATTATATTATGGTGTATTTTCAGAAATAAGAACTTGGAGTTTGTTCCTCCATCTTCTTTCGAGGGGAACATACCAGCACATAAGATGTTAAAAACTTTCTAAATGAATCTCCAGTGTTCTCAGACTGATCTGATAGAAAAGATGCTTTTCTTTCCTTTTCTTTCTTTTTTTTTAAATCCAATTCTGCTTTGATGGAATCTACGTTTTTTTTTTAACCTAACAAAAATGTTCTTTCACAACTTACTGCCTAAAGGAAACAAGCTTTCAGCTGCAATCAATGCCATGGACAGACTCGACTATAACTTGAACCGGCGCGCACGTGTCGTCTGAAAGCGCATCCAAGCGACACCGCCCTAAATTGCAATTCCACCACGGAAGAGAAAGGGAAACGTTGCCTCCTCTAATGACTTGCCTCAGTTGCTTTTTAAGTTGCTGCTGTATGTTAAGTGAACCGAGGTTCAAGTGGTGCGGGCTGCCTCTATCACGGGCAGGTCTCGGGCTGGGTTGTCCTCTTCCCTGCAATAAACAAATTCACATCTTGCCCCAAATGCCCCCACCCCCGGCGGGCGGACGGGCGGCGCCCTGGCGGTGACCACGGTTCTACCCGGGGCCTCCCCGCGGCGCCCGGAAACCCCAAGTGCTCGCAGCCGCACCGCGGGGCTGGGCGCCCGGAGCGGGCCCCGGAGGACAGGAAGGGCGGCCAAGTGCAGACCTGGCAAGCCCCAAGCCCAAGTCAGCCGCCACAGACTGCTGGTGGCCGCGCCACGTTTTCAGGAGGGTCAGCCCTTCGCTAGGTCTTCTGGGTTCTCGGCGCAGCGGAGCGAGAGCTTCATGCTCGCCCGAACGCGTGCAGGACGCTGCGTCCCCGGGACTCGGCGCCAGCGTCCCCACCTCCACCCCCAGCCCGGATGCCATCCCCACAGCCGAGCCAAGGGCTAGGCCGAGAGCAAGTGCCCCGTGCGGCGAAGATGCGGACCAGCTTCCCCAGAAAGGGCCACGGTCTGGCCGCGCTCCGGAGCCCGAGCGCCCGGGAACGCGGCCGCAGCCAGAGGGGAAGGGACAGCGCGGGAACGCGGGAGAGAGAAAAGCGGGGACTGGGAGCAGCCCAGCGAGATCGGAGGGGGATTCCCTCCGGGCCCCTCCTGGAGCTCACTCCGGTGACCCTTCTCGGGGCCAATGCTCGGGCCGGGAGAGTCCCCGATGCGTGTCCACAGTCCCTTCCAACTTCCTCCGTCCCAGCCTCAGAACGCGGGCAAGTGGCCATTGGCCGGGTCTGCAGGTGGAGGGAGTTTGCGCGCAAAACTTACGGTCTGCGCCGGCCACCGCTCCGCGGGAGGAGGTCAAACTCAGGAGCCACGCGCCCAGGGCGACCAGGAGCAGTGTTTTGCTGTCCATCTCGGGTCGCGTCCTTCGGTAGGAGCCGCACAGCGCAGACAGCGCGTGGACTGACTGATGGACGCGCTCAGCGGGTGGCGCGAGAGGGCTGGAGCCGCGGTCCCGGCGCAGGGCAAGTCGCCCTTTAAAAGGGAGGGCAGGACAGCTAGAAGTGACAGGTTTTCTCTGAGTAGGAGGAGGAATCGAGTCTGACACTGTTTCCACTCCAAGGCTGCTTATGTGACTGGAAATATGCAAATAAACCTCATCACCTATTGGCTATAAAATCATAAGTTGGGGGGAGGGCCCTAAATTCACTTCCAAACATTTGAGCAAACCTTAATGAGGATCAAGCCTGCCAGCGAGAAGAGGGGAAAGGGCAGAAGGGAAAACTGCTTTCTCTGTTAGGTTCCTATCTGGTTACTCTTAGGGTTCTACTTTCCAGGGCCCCCTGTCTAAGCATCCAACACGAGTTTATGTCGATTTATGTTAAATACTCATATTTAACCTATTGTATAATTTCATATAATTTAACCTATTGGGTGATTTTATTTATATAAAATGTCCACAAATAGGCAAGCCTGTAAGGACAGAAAGTAGATTAAGGGTGGCCTGGGACTAAGGAATAGTGGAGGGGAAGAATAGGGAGGTTTTGGGGAGGTGATGAAAATGCTCTAAAATTGCATTATAGTGATGGTTGCACAACTTTGTAAATATACTAAAAATCATTCAGTTGTATTCTTTAAATGGGTGGACTATAGGGTATGTAAATTATATCTCAATAAAGCTATTTTTTAAAGTGTACTGAGTCACGCACATAAAAGAAAAAGAAGATCACACTGAATACTGTTCCGTTCTGTTAATTCTGCTCAGAATACTTTCAAATGTCTTTTTAAATGTAAAGGTTTTACATTAGCCAGGAAGGACTTTTAATTCTATACTCCCCACCTTACAGCTGAGAAACTGGCTCATAAAATCAGAATCTCCAACCCACTGTCTTTACTAGTTTGAATATCTTTAATGCCCTCTTCTGCTCATCCTGTCCTCCATCTCACCACACACACACACACACACACTGCACATTTGTAGATTAGAAAGGCAAAAGGCAATACAATTTAAACTAGGCTGATTTTTGAAGTTTTTCTCAATAAATAAAACAAAAAATAACAACTGATAATACACGGATAATTCAGTTTGTTATTCTGTAGCATAGAGTCCAGTCTTGAAATTGATGCATTCAATGCCACAACACAATAGATTGTTTTGAATTGCAGTTATTAAACAATATATTGTGCACATAAAGCATGTGGAGAATCTTGAAACCCGCCAAGAATTAAAACCCACAGAGGAACTTTAAAAGTTGCAGAATAGACCATGCGAGGGATGAATAGCTATGATGTGGAAGTCCTCCAAAAAGTACACAGTAAACGCTAATTTTTAAAAATGACACAAGATGAGCACAATTGTATTGGATATGCTCATGGTATAAACGACATACAAAGAGAAGAGCGGAAATATCGTCTTACATAGAACATTCGTACAGCCTATTCTCATACATAAATTTCATTTGATAAGACAGCCAAACCAAACTGCACTTCTGGGTCTTTCAGAGAACTGCGAGGAAGTTGTAAGTAATGACTGATGCTTATAACATTATTTTGAAAATGATTTCCCAGGCTAACAGACAACAAAACCAAAGCGCTCAAGAGTTGGAGCAAATTTAAAATTAAAAAAAAAGAAAGAAAGAAAGAAACCAGTTTTGGAGTGTCCTCTGCGTTGACGCTGCAAGTCCATTAGAATTGTAGAGATTTCCAGGAAGAATTAATTCACGGCATCTCAGCCTGGTAGAAAAGCAGACAGGCTGGCTCCTCTCCCGGGGAGCGGTGGGCAGGTGGGTGTGGCGGCCACGCTCTCTGCCGATTGGCTGCGCTGGGAGCGCTCGGGTCCCTGAGTTCTCACGCAGAGACTCACATGATCTCCAGGTCAGGACAGCATGTGCGTTGTTGAAGCATCTCCTCCAAACTTCAGCAAGGTTATCTGGCCACGGAGAGCTTGAGGCGTGACTTTTTCTATAATGGATATTTCCTTAGTTACAGACTAAAAAAGCTTTAGGTCAAAAGAAGCTAAGCATTTTACAAACGCTTGACAAAACAATACCCTTAGGGCAGGACACTTGCTCCTGGTATACGCTAAAAATTATGTAAGTAAAAAGTTAAATGTGCCTACCTAATGAAACAACTGGAAATGCCAGATGTAGGGAAGCATTATCTATCTTTCTGTTCTCTATCATGTATCTATTATTTTGATTAAATACTTTCTACTATTTGCACACACACTGGGCACTTTTCAGCCCTGTCTGCATTTAATCATTAGAAAAACACTCCAACTGAATAATATTTCCAATGTATAAATTAGGGCATGAAACTCAGGGAAGATTAAATACCAGTAATTATGTATCATGAAATTTTTTTTCCTTGGCAATCCCAGGAAAGAAGGAAAATGCATTTGATGTGTTATATTTTGATGTTGCTGTAACTGCAAACCAGAAAAGGCTGAGAGGCAGATTTTTTTTTTTTTTTTTTTGTACTTGCATATTTCAGTGCAGATTTTATTTGGTGGCTTCCTTGCTAAACAAAAATATGAGGAAATGTCTAAGTGGATTCTAAAGAGCATCAGTACTGAGGTAGATGTAGTCTCCATGACACAAAAATTATATTTAAGATAGAATAACATGGCTGGTACAAATAAAAGTTGCAAATACAAAATCATAAATATACTTAAAATCTATTGATTTTTTAAATAAGAAAAAACCAAACCTAGATGTTTACTAAAAATTGTCTTAAAGAAGGGCTGACTGGTTAGTCCAGTTGGATAGAGCACAGCCTTGTAACACCAAGGTCTGGGGTCCAACTCACCAAGGTCAAGGGTTCAGATACCTATGGCCAGCCGCCAAAATGGAAAAATGAAATTGTCCTAAAGGGCTTTCCCAACACTTCCACTCACATCCCAGCATTAAATTGTAGACAGGGAGGAGCACAGACAGGTTCAGAACAGAGATGCTGATGTGTAGGTGAGGGTGAGGGGGACTCTCTGGGATCTGCTGCTGAGGCTGGAGCTGTCCTGCTGGGTAGCTGATGAGAGGAGATGCTATCTTGAAGTCTTCTTCTTTTACTCAGCAAAGCTATGTTGAAGAATTCCAAGTAGCTGATTTTGGGAAGATTAAACTCAGACAAAAGACAGTTCCATTGGCAAAGATGGGCATTGTGGTCTGGAAAAGTTTAAGTACAGACAAATATTCTTTTTAGCCAATTTCCTACTAACCTCTTCTTCCATCAGGATTGAGTAGAGATCAGGATTGTTTTGTTTGCTGGGGGAGGAGGGCTGTGGGGTGTGGGAAAAATTGCTTCAAACCATAAAGATACGGTATGAAATAAGCCAGACACATTTTAAGGATTTTAGTTTCTTGAGTTGGAAATATTCATACTCTTTCCTCTTCTAAACACAACAGAAAAAAAGAAATCATGTCTTAATATCTGCATTAAAAGATTTGTCTGAATAAAGTCAGGAAGAGAAGTAAATTATCATTTTAAAAAAGAGAGGATGAAAAAAACACAAAAGTCAGTGCATTGCAGTGGTACGTCCGGAACAAGGTTTTATGGGGAGGGGGGGAAAGGACAGAACATTCCAGACAGATGCTGTCACAGAGGAACAGTGGAGCCGGGGGAGAAGGACACAGACTTTCCCTAGAAGACAGCTCTCAAAAACTAAAAAGAATGTCCCACAAATAACCAGCTGGATTTATAATCCATGTTCGTTTGT